AAAAAAAAAAAAAAAAAAAAAAAAAGGAGACCAAGAGCAGCATCTTAGCAGTCAAACAAGAAATGTCATTAATTCTGATTTTTTTGTTGTTTTATTTATAAATTTGTTATTAGTTTTAATCAATTAATTTTTTTGGGTGACTATTTTTTAAATAGCCACGTAAGGGGGAATTATATATGTGTGTTTACAAGAAAAGAGCATTAAAGAGAAAACTTTGAAGAAAGTTGATATGTTAAAGACATTAGGAAAACAACTGCCCATTTCAGATGGAGTCTTAAAACTTATATTACGATAAGAGGTTTAAAAATGTGAGCTTAGAAGCAATATAAAGTAAATGACCTAACTAGTCCTTTACTAGTTAGGAATTACTATGTGGAATTACTATGATTGCTGCAAGCAAAGTTGTTACTAATTTAGAATAGTATATAATGTCCAAGGTCCTACTGCAAGGAATTATTTTTGTTTGGAACATAAGTAGTGAATTGTAATGAATGATATATTTTGCCTTAATAAAATTTAGTTTTGATATCGAGAAGGTGTCTAAATGAAGCAAACATTCAACTATTGCAGAGTATTTAAACTTGATTTTAAAGAAAATTAATGAGGTTCGAAATGGATATCAGGTTAGGTTGGAATTTTAGTGTTTAAGGTATAAAAAATAATTTTTTATTATCAAAAAGCTTAAAATGGGAAAAAGCTATTGTTTTTGTGTGGGTCACCATTTATTAAAAATTTAGGCAACAACAATGAATGTACTTGATCACCTGTCTTCATTTTAAATTTGAGAATGATAAATATTTATAATGCATAGTTAATTATGAAAAGGAAACTTCAATATTCATAAGCTTTGTGAGAAATTTAATAATTTAATCTATGAACATATCTTTTCTCATGAAAAATGTCAAGCTCAAGAAGTTCTGCTTAGTGCCTTAATAAGCTGTTATAATTATATACAGCAGTAATCTTTATCATACTTTGTCTCCTTGCCTCCTGCCTTAAAGTTACAAGTTTTACAAGTAATCACATTTTTACATCAAGCCTTGAATAAAGGGTAAGTGATGAGGAAGTTTTAAATTGAGGCAGCTTAATAAGGGAAAAGAAAAAAACTATGAGAAAAGGAAAAAATGGAAACAAAGTTTCTGTAAATAGGGGAGGGTGGAGGGAGTGAAGGGAGGGCAGGGTATGGGGAAAAAGTGAGAACCAAGGTCTATCACGTAAAGGTACAAGAACCCAATGATGAATGTAACTGTACTGTATATCCCAAAAGTACCAATAAACTCAATAAAAAATAAAGAAATTGAGGCATCTTTAAGTTTTAAAGAGGGATTAACTATTTAGAAAATGCCAAAATATACACTATTTTCCCCTAATTGGGAAAGTTAAAAAATAAGATCCAAATTGTATAACTGACATTGGGAAATGGGAAGAAAAGGGCTAAAGGTGTAGGGAAAGTGGGAAAGGTAGGGGAAAGGAAATAAGGGAAAAGAAAAAATATGAGAAAAGGAAAAAATGGAAACAAAGTCTTTGTAAATAGGGGAGGAGGGTGAAGGGAGGGCAGAGGTATGGGGAAAAAATGAGAACCAAGATCTGTCATGTAAAGGTACAAGATCCCAATGATAAATGTAACTGTACTGTATACTTAAAAAGTGCCAATAAACTCAATGAAAAAATTATCCCTAAGTAAAAATAAAATTAATAGAAAATGTAAACTACCTGCATTGTTTAGGAAAGATGTTTGCATACAAAACATTTTTTTGCTTTTTGTTGTTTTACTTCACAGTAATTTCAATATCTATTAAAGATATTTACTGTCCAATAACTTTAATTGTAATCATCATCATTAGAAAACAAGGCAATCAATTCCATCATGGTTACAGCAGATCATTTTTCTGGGAGCTCTTTTTTTAACCCTAACTCCTCTTTTTTTAAATTCTATGATTAAATAATTTGTCTCCTACTATATCTTTAAGTCAGGAAGATTTGAGGGTTAGAAAAGGAAGTGTATTTAGATGAAAATTTTCATAGTAGTTATTTATAGTGGCATAAGATTCTTCCATGGATATCAAAAGGCATTTATGATAAAGCTTTTAGAAGAAAATAACCTTTGTGATTAAAGAGTTAAACATGGAATAATAAATTGATCTTGGTGGTAGAATTCTCTTAATTTGTCACCTAACATATTGTCTAACATCTAGGTGTTCAATATTTATGTCTAGCATAACCCAAAACGACTAATATAAGAATGAATTTTATTCTATAAAAGCAATCATTTGTACATGCACTTATATACCAATGCATCTATGTGTATTTCTGGCCTTAAACCTATATCCATATATCAAATCCATATGTACTAAAGAAAGGCTTGCAGGAAAAAATTTTAAAATTAACTAACAGCCAACCAAATCTGACAAGCTAACTACTTTTCATACAACATAAAATAATGTAGTGAGTAAAAATGGTATTTGGTATAAAAAGTAACAGAGATGTAGAAATATAGCCTAAATTCCCAAAAGACATTATCTCTTCAAATCCAGAGCAAGTCGATATATCAAAGAGGTAACTGAAACTCATATTTGTAAACTTCTAGTACTAACACTTATAAATGAGACTTGACACTGAATCGCTGAGATTTTTTTTTTCCTTAGGAAGCTAGAACAAACTCCAACAGAGAGAATAGTTGTAAAAGTAATTAAATCACTTGTGCAATTTAAGTGAAAGCCATTCTTCATTTTCCTTGTTAATAATACCAAGGATAGAGAGAGAGAAATCCTTGATCCATGGACCTAACACATTGCTGCTGAGTTGCATAGTCCAGTTCAAGGTGGAGTAAGGTATTCTAGTAGCATGAAGTCAGGAGCCTATCTACCCATTGATTTAACAGTACTTCCTGAAAGTAAGATAGGCACTTCTGAGTTTCATTTATTATTATTATTTGATACCAGGGATCGAACTTGGGACCTTGCGCTTGCCAGGCAGGCAGCAGAACCACTGAGCTAAATCCCCGGCCCTCTTCTGAATTTTAGTTGTAGCAGCATCATAAGGTTTCATTGGAATAAAGGAGATTCAATGGCTAAAATGCTAGGAAAACAACTTCCCCTCCCCCCATGCTTTGTGGACTCACTGGCCAGAATTCCCGTGACTTTCAAATCTGCTCGTTTTATTTATGGGGAATATTTTGCACAATGGCATTTTGGTTTGCACTTTTCTCATTTTGTCAGCTAGGCTGCTAGCTGAGGCCTGGAGGGTGGTTGACTCCAGCATTTTCATAAAATTCTGCAGTACTCAAAGCATCAGTGCAAAGAGCAATGAGCTTTCTGGCAGCATGATTTACAACTAAAGTGTCAGGAAATTACAAGGAAAACAGTGGGTAATTACAGGACATAAATTTGGATTCTGCTTTATTAATTTACCCTAGATTTCACAGACATAGCATGAAATACTTCCTATTTTTATTTGTATTACAAGTGGAAAAACTGCACATCCAAATAGAGGCTAATTCTCTATTACATGATAGGTTCTTTCAGTACTTGAGAAACAGGCTCTCAAGCCCAGTGTCTGGATTGTCTCTCCTTCTACTCTCTGATAAGTCTTAAAACAGAAAAAACCTGAAATTTGAAAAAGAAAAGCTGCAGGCTGTTGTTCAACTCCATCAACTTTACTACCTCTATGCAAACAATAAACTCCTTGCAGCTCACCTTATGTGTTGTTTTCTTTAAAACTTTGTATATTGTAGGTTTATGTTGCTGCTAAAATAATATTTATGCACTGAGCAAGGAGACTTAGAGGTGCTGTTTGGAGTAGGTTTTCAGGAACTGTGTTATTGGAAAAAAAGGGATCCTTTTTTTTCCTAATGCGCAGGTGAGTATTTGCATACACATCACTGAGACTTAGGAAAGAGATGTCGCAGAAGCTTGCTTACTTGATGGGATTCCTGGCGGCATCTGGATCTTGAGCTGTGACTGAGCCTATGGTTGTGTTTATCTGAGCGTCTTCTCTTATCTGCAGGATGTAGGCTAGTTTGCTGAAGACAGGTGGCTCATCGACATCCTCCACTACGATTCTCACCGTGGCTGAATCTTTGAATGGACCCAGGTATTGAAATTGGGCTTCTACATGAGGATTGGAGGCTTCTACCTTGAGGGTGTATACTTTCTTCTTTTCGAAGTCCAAGAGCTTGGGAAGGAAAGTGACATGCTTAAAGCAGCCAAGATTCAGAAAGCCAATTCATGAACTTTTTTTGTGTGCAAATCTCTGATAATGGAATGTGACTGTTACTTACAGAAATCACTATATATTATTTGATATGAGGCCCAAGAAAGTAAATACAGGTGTAATTAATTTTTTCCCACAGTTTAGACCATTAGGAGGTGAATTATTACACCATCTACGGAGGAGTTCGGATGCCACATAACCCTCACAAAGCATGGACCAGAATCATGACTGCTGTTCTTTAAAGTGAGTGCTGAGGTGCCAGCCATCATACACAGCAGGCACATCCACTCCCAGAAACTGGAAGCAGGAATCTGTTACAGCCTAACCCCCTCCTTTAAGATAATCCTTGTCTTTGACCAGAATCTATCATCATGGGAAAGTTGGTAAATTGTAGTAGATTATTCTGTCAGATGTTCTCACATCTGGCTTTAATTGTACCTACTGTGTTGAAAATATGTCAATGCCTGGGCCCTACTCTGGTCTGTTAAACCAAAATATTGTACCTGGGATGGGGATGTTACCCCTCCACCCAAGTGACTAAGGTGCAGCTAGAAATCTGCATCACAATTTCTTCTTCCTTATTCAAATAAAGTAGGTTAAGATTTATTTTTCATAAGTTAATAAAATATTCTGAATGATATCCTGATAAGGGAATTGGATTTTTTATTTACCAAAGGAATGAGTACGGTTGTCAAAGATCTTTAGGAAGAGTCTCTTCGCCTTTGGAGACACAGTGATCCAAGGGCTTATTACTGACTTTTAGTTTTAGATGATAATATAACAAGGCTCACTAGAAACAAAATTAATCAAGATGATAGTGAATGTGATTTAGTTGGCTAGGCAAAACTTCAGTTTGAATCTGAAGAAGCACCACAAAAATCAAAAAGTTTAATGAACACTAATGGGTTCCCTAGTTACATTATGGTATAAAATATTGGCTTGAGTGTCACTGAAACATGTTTTATTATGTTTCCAGATATTAAGACATGTTCTTAAGAGGAATTTTTTTTTGTTATTTACATCCACCTAAGCTTATATTTGCCATTAAATATAACAATGTGTTAAAGGAAGGAGAAAATATTATACTACATATAATAAAAGAGAAATCATTAAAACATTAACCACATTTAACATTTTTAGCCTTACATTTATTATTGCTTTTTAACTTTTGTCACACTTTGGTATATTGCTCTATGGTACTAGAAAATTTTGACAGTAAAATAATGCATTAAGTACATTGGTGAAAACAAGAATTTAGCACATAAAAGATTTGTTATCATTGTGTTTCAGAAAGTGGCTAAAAGCCACAGGAAATTTGTATTACTTAAATTTATGGTCTTTATAGGTCTTTTCTTTCTAATTTTAGGTCATTTGGATCACTTCTTCCATTATCTTTTTTTGCTTTAAAGTGGACATCACAATATGCAATTACACAGTCTTGCATTTATTTTCTTGCTTCTTTGTTTTTTCTCTCTGTGACCTGCAAGTTCTAGGAGAGCAGAGATCTCTGTTTTAAGTGTGATTGCACCTGCAGGACTTGGAATGATGTATAGCATTGTCTGTTCATTTATATTATTTATTTCACATGTTTTAATGTATGTTGTTTACAGTATTTACTTCAGTAAAAAAATCTGCTTAAAGTATAGAATTCATGAATATATTATATTATTTTGGAGCTCTAAAGTCCAACCCATGAGATATCAGTATAATTAGAATTGGGCTATTAAAAACAAAAACTTGGTGGAATAAGAATCTAAAGGAAATGTTTATGTGAGATGTGAATTGCCCCTGGTAACCTGAAAACAGATCAGAGAACAGTATATTTATTCAGATGATATTGAAGAAATAGCATTACCTTTTTGACAGTTAGAATCCCTTCCTGGGTTTCCTGGTCAGTGATGACATCAAACATATCCAGCCCCTCACCGTCTGTGATACTGTATACAATTTTGGCATTTTCTCCTACATCAGCATCACTGGCTTTGATCCTGCCAATTGGTGTACCCGGTGGAGAAGATTCAGGAGTTTTAAACTGATATGTACCTATTAACCACCAGATAGATATGAGTCAAACACAGACCAAGGGCACTCTTTAAAAATAAGCTAAATCTGCCTTTCCTATGAAGAATATGTTCCAAGCCCCCTGTGGATGCCTGAAACTGGCTAGTACTAAACCCTACATATTGGTATACTATGTTGTTCCCTGTACCAAACATACTCATGATAAAATTTAATTTATAATTAGGTACAGTAAGAAATTAATAACTAATAATAAAAGCTAGGGGAATTATAATAATATATTATCATAAAAGTTATACAAAATCTGAAATAGTAATGCCTGAAATATTCTTTCTAATATTTTTGGACTGTGGTTGACAATGGGTAAGGGAGACCATAGCTAACAAGGGACTACTGTAAAACCAAAATCCATTTTCCTATAAAACATCACCATGGATTGGAAGCAGATTTGTTTTATCTTTAAAAGCATATTCGTTCTTCAAAATAATAAATGATGCTCTATTCTTCTTATTTTGTGGCTACTATGATTTTAAGAATATTTCTTCTGTTTACTGTCTTATCTCCTTGCAAATATATATATATATATTTTGGTCCCTTAAACAGGCTTCCAAGTTTATGGTGTGACCGTGAGACTAAGTGAAGTGCTTGAGGAGGGAGCAGAAGGTTTTGAAGCCTTCTCTGAATGTAATCTAAGAGAGAGAAGAGAGAACTTAACTGAAGCTTAATCTTGAAGTCAATTGCTAGGTATTCTTTAAAGGAGTTCCTTTTGTCATTGCACAAACTAGCGGAAGGTAGAAGTAAATGATAGTCATTTGGAGTCTGTGTACAAGGAGCCATCCATTTACTCATATGGAGAGCTACAGCCAGTTGCAGAGCTAGGGACATGGTAAATAGGCTACACGATAAAGCTCTCATATTTTCCCTTTTGGATAACTCCTTCTTTTAAATTTTCTTACAATATTTTTCTATGCACAGGTTTCTTCCATACTTTAATTACTAGTTCAAAACCTGTACAGTATTGCAAAGATAAACACTTTTGTTATGTCCTCATGTTGCAAAATTAAGGCAACTACTTGTAAATTTCAGCTTAAATCTGACAAGGCAGCGTGTAATTAGAACTTAATAAAATAAAGTTGTAAAAAGAAGTGTTTCTATTTTCACTCATTATATTTTGTCAACCATTCATATGAATAGTTTAGAAATGAACCAGACTGTGATAACACTAAAGTATGGGTCTTCAATAGTATCAATTCCCGGAGTATTGTATTCTTTGTAAAATGATAAAATAGGTCATGTTTCTCCAATGCATTCAAGTCCAAGTTTTAGGGCCTCATTCTATATTGTCTGTCCTCTTTCTTTAGCACACTTTCTAGCAACAAGTCACAGGCTAGGTGAAGAAAGAGTGGCGTGAATGATATTTCCCGTAAGTTCCAGGGCCTTTCCATACTGAAAATGAATTTTTGGGCAAAATGTTAGTTATCGTGATATTTTCAGGCCTTTTTGGCGAAATTTTGTATCCCATAAAACTTTTGTCCCACTTATGTAAAAAAAAAAAAAAAGTTGATTACCTATTCTGTTTTTGCATTTAGCTAGCTCTGATTAAATCCTTGAAAAAAAAACAAAGAGGATTAAACTCTTTTCTACTGATTCATATGAATCTCCATTGTTATGAAAGTTCATATTAGCTGACCATCTTTTCAAAATTCCCTGATAAAATAAGTAGGTTTTCTATTCACAGACTGAGATAACTTTCTTAGGAGATCCTGGGCAGAATGAGATTTTGTTCTTGCTAGAAAATTGCATTAAAACCAGTTCCTATTGGGCAAGAGGAAAAGAGTCTTATGTGCTGCTTGATACAAAGTCTATGGTCCCAGGTATGTTTTCTTTCTTTTTATTTAATCATAAAAGTTAATAATTGTAGAGATGATTTCAGTATCTCAATTAGCCATAATGTAGAAAACTATTTCTCATTACAGATGGATTAAGTACATAGTTGCTTCCACAGGCATATTTTTAGAAATAGGAAAATGATAAATCCTTTCCTTACAAAGCATTGTGAGGATTTAAGAGAGATTACATGCCTGATTAAGTTCACAAAACATAAAGTCAGTTTTTTCCTAACAAATAGCAGCATGCTGGTATACATATGTTCTGCACAAGCAAATTTATGTCTCTGGTAGTCTTTTTAATAAGGAAAAAGAAAATAATGATGTTGCTTTTTAAAACTACAGCCATATTGGAAATCGCTTAGCTAATTACCAATGGCAGAACATAAATGTTCATACTTCCTGAGCATAAGTGGTGTTGTCAACTCATTTTAATAATTTCAATAAAAGTGTCAGTTCTTACTAAGTCTGTGCATTTTGACATTAATGACGATAGTGGAAAATAAATACTCTCAAGGTTAGAATTTTATGAAATGCATAGAAGAAAGCCATTCAATCAAATGTTCCTACTCTGGGGGAATCGGGGAGGGTTGTCGTTGACGTCGGTCAGCGTGATATTCACTGTGGTGGTCCCTGAGAGTCCTCCCATCTGGCCGCCCATGTCCTTGGCTTGAATCACCACTTGGTACTGCTCTCTGTTTTCTCGATCCATGTTGTGCAAAGCTGTCTTGATGATACCTATGGACGTAGAATTTAGGAGTGGAAAGGGATGCATTAAGAATACTTTATGGAATCATTTATTTATGCAAACAAACAGACTGTCACCCATAATATACAAAGCACTAGGTAGATGTCACAGTGATACAAAGATGGTTATATACAGCCTTTATACTGAAGCTGATTATAACCACACAAGGGAGACAGATACATTTTTAAAAGCCTGTAATACAAGGAGAATAAAAAGTAAGTACAAGTCAAACCCCACAATAGTATAGACTAGAAGTAGTATAAATATTAGGTGTTAGAGACAGCAATCTAATGGCATGTGCCATAAGGGCATATACTACAGCAGCTGCTTGATTAATGACATTATGGTGTATTGTGAGCACATTGTTAAGAAAGCCTTATCCTCGAACTGACTTCTGTGTTTTACAGTGCTAAAGTGGCTAATTGCTCCTCAAATATACCTTCTGTATAGAATGTTCTGAAAATTTTCTAAACCATAAAACTATGGTATTAATAAAAGCATAATTTCTCTCACAGTTATCATCTTGTATAATATTTGAGAATTTAGATTTTCCTAAAGCTGATGTGAACATTTGTTTAACTGGTCCCCAAAGTAACCAACATTTTAAAGTTAGGTTAAGTTTATCTTTATTGGTAGGAAGCTCTAAGATAATTAATTAAAAGAAATTCTAAAAGTTTGCTTAATCACTACAGAGGGTTTATGCTTAAATTAGCTTTCTTTAAATAAAAATCACTGGAGAAGACTTTATAACCTTTTCCGGTCACACGTTCCAGTACTTAACAACTAATGAAGCTGAAAATATATTAAAAAATATTTTAAACAAGAATACCTCAGACAACAGGTCACATTTAATCCTATAGTCTTGGCTTCTAAGCACAGATGCTTTCTGTTCTCCAAATAATAGTGCTTCTTTATTTAAACATAGCAAATCACCTTAGCCATTTGTCTTTTAAGTTGAATAATTCTAATTTTTAATTCTCATTGTTTTTCAACTCAACTCCTTGGGATTCTTTCCAAGTTAACTGCACTTTTTAACACACAGATCTCCAACTATATGTAGTAACCTAGAAAGGTTTCTACCAAAATAATGGATGCTTGAAAAACACACAAATAGAACTTGGCTCCTATTATGAAAGCAAGAATATGTATAGAATTTACCATATCTCTGCCACTTATTAAAAAACATCATCATCTGATAATATGCTACTTTGTGGGGAAAATATAGAATGGGATAATGAGACATTGAAAAAAGGATTTTGTAAAAACTCCATTTTAAGGTCTTATCAGTTAGGCTGGGCTAGACAATAATGTTTCAACAACCAATGTAAAATCTCAGTAGCTTACACAACTAGTTTAACTGTTGTTCATGCTCTGAACAGACAAGTGGGAAGTTCTGCTCTTGGTAACACTGGGCCATTCAGGCTGAAGAACCCATCTCAACAGAGGTTTCCATGATTAGTGTGTCAGGGAAAGGTCTGAGGCCCTCTTACAGCAGCTTTATAAACGATGCTTGCATCATCGCCAGCCATCTGGTGTTTGCACAAATCAGTCACATGCATATGCCCAGCATCAGAGAAGAGTACAGAGGTGCAGTCCTATCAAATAACTAGAAAAGGAAGAGGGAGTGTGTCTGCCGACATCCCTACTAGCTATCAGAAAGGGTTCGTCTTTTAGCTTCACCCCAAACTGGAAGAAAAAATAAAGGAACGTGTAATTTGTCTGAACCTACTTATATAAATATGGTGGATGAAAGATTCACTGTCAGATTTCTTGATTAAAATGATCCTGATGTCGTGCTTGCAAATATATCATTAGGGTTTGTCAGAGGAATACAAGAAAATTCAATCACACTGATTGTTTTTATTAAAAAATATGCTAGCTCAGCAGAGTGTAGCAATTACAATTACAGATTGTTAAAAAAAAAAGACCAAAAAGAATTCTAACCTGTTTCTGATTCAACAGAAAAATAGGGCTGTCCCTGTAGGATGCTATAGACAACTTTAGCACTGTTCCCGTACGTTGGATCATCAGCATCAGTTGCAGTGACTTGGACAACAAACGTGCCTGTAATGACAGAAACATAGATTGAAGACAAAGGAAGGGTTCATTATTTCATAATGCATATTCCTAAAGAGGAAGCATCAGTTTAATTTTATACAGAGCTATCATGGGAACAAAGTGAACTTCAATGGGATGCTCCATTAAAAAGCCTTGGATTCTTCACTCTGAAGGCATGTAATGAACATGAATAAATACTGTAAGGATTACGTTAAAAAGAAGTATGGAGATGGTAATGACTTTGAGTGGAACTGATTCCCACTCATCTCCAATGACAGGATTTGACTGTATGTACTCCCGTTGTAGTGATTCTTTCAGGCTATTCAGGACTAAGTCCTACATTATTTTGTCCACGAGATTAGTTTAGAAGCTCTGCAACCAGGAGGCCACTTATGATTTTGCTAGAAATTTTGTCATTAAATGCTCTTTCTCCTGGTCTGAGAAGAAGGCGCAATGCAGGCACTATTTTATGATTTTAGAAATGGCAGGTTTTAGGACAAAACCTAAAATGGCTTTGTATGATAAAAAATATGGTGAACATTTATGTTAAAAATTTATTACAGTAAGAGACACACTGTCATGAATCCCCCTTGCTTCAAACACCCTGATCCTTCCAACTTTCTGAAGTAGTTTTTTTTTTAGACAGGGTCTTGCTATGTAGCTCAGGCTGGCCTTGAACTCACTATGTAGTTCAAACTGGCTTCAAACTCTTGGAAATCTTCCTGCCTCAGCCTCCCAAGTGCCAAACCACCATACTCAGTTTCTGAAGCAGTTCTGAAATTTCTCTTTCACGAGCTTTAGTTGTGCTATTCCGACTGCCTTGATGCCTGGATTGGAAATGTTAATGGAAATTTCTGTCAAATAAAAACATTACAGTGTGTCCTCATCCACCTTATTTGGTAGATCGGGTACCATGTGACTTCTCAAGCATCCCCAAAGTAAAAATGACCACGAGAGGTAAACATTTTCAATGAATTCAGGACATTGAGGTAGCCAAGGCAACACAGCTAAAGCCAGTCAATGAAAGACGACTTCCAGAACTGCTTCTGGAAGTGGCAAGAATAATAGAATAAGTGTATTTGAATCAAGGAATATTTTGAAGGGGATTATTGACAATACCTCTTCCTGTAGTAAATTTTTAACATTTAAACACACAATACTTTTTGATCAACCCTTATATGATAGAAAGATTGGAAAGAAACATCTTGAACCCATATCAAATTATATGCAAAGCCCTTCATACTTTTCTGCTTAAGTAATGACTAATAAATACTTTTATTCTTCAAACTCATTTTGTTGAGTTTCCTGTTACTTGCCATCCTACATAACAAATTTATCTGATAATTTCCACAAGTGGAAAGATTTTGAACCTACAAAGAGGTAGTTTTTGACTAGATAAAGAATTAAGCAGAACAGCAGAACATAATATTCTGAAAGCTATAATTTCAAAAAATGATTATGATTACATATACAATGAAAGCTATAATATTTTAATTGGCATTGTTATTTTAGGGACAACAGTCAGCTCATAGCCTTTAAAATATCCCTAACTACTCCCAAAACTATGCCAACTTTCATGTATACACTTTAAGGGCTATTTCACTGGAGAGACAGGCCATAGATTTTACTTGATTCTCAAAGGATTCTGTGATGTCCAAAATAGGTCAGACCCTCTGGTTAAGATCAAATTATGGGTAACTTTTGATATTCCCATCAGATAAACAGTAGCACACTGCTAGACTTCTCTTATCCATGAAAAGGGCAAGAAAGTTACATCTTGAGAATATTAGGATTTTTAAATTGCTCTCCTAATAATATCTGGCGAATTTCATTTATTGACAAAATAGATTGTACTGTGTCAAGGTTGGGTGTTCTGGATGCACCATGCTGATTTATGAGACACAGCACCCACCTCTGTACTCTGCCGGGGAGGTGGAACCAATGAGAGAGCTTTAGAGCATCTTAGAGGGGGAGCTGAAGGAAGTCACAAACACCCAGGTTCCTATTTAACATGAAACTTGATTGCTTTTGGTTTATGGTCAGGTGGATGTTTTGGGTACCTTCTAGTTACCAGATATTATATTAGATGCTTTGCACCTATTTTTTTTGTTTAATTCTCATAACAACCCTTAGGAGTTAACATTTATTATTTATTTTTTATAGAGACAGAACTAGAGGATCAAAGAGTCAGGATCAGAGAAATAAAGTAATTTTCCTAAGGCTACACTGCTAGTTATTACAGCAGATAGTTTCAAATTTAAGTCTGTTTGATACCATAGTCCATTTTTTACCTCCCTGCTGTTGTCCTACTATCTTTATGTAATTTCTGTAACTTGCCTTTGTATATCATAATAATGTCATATACATTGATAATACTGATGAATATCAACATTCTTGTGCCCACATGCAAAATTGGAAAAAGCCTTCCTTTTGTCAATGTGTGGTACTGTCAGCTACCCTCAAATACTCGTAATATATTTGTAATCTTGTAGTGGCTTTGAAAGTGGATGTCACCCCTTGAATTGTTCAGTGTGTGGCCTGCATATCACAGCTGTTCTGTGTGGTCCCAATGACCAGATTATCCTTCTTCTGTCTTTTATCTTTTAAAGGAAAAATATTATGTTCCCTAAAAAACCTTTCTCTTTAAAGAATTCTAATTCATCTTTTTGCTTTGATGATTGATGGTTTGTGATTTTTTTTTCTAACAAAGTGGCTTGTAGTAATGAGATGAGCACTTTCTTCATGAGAAAAATGCAGATGTTTTACAATCATTTCTGTAGATTGGATATTTTTCAGTTCTTGGATGTGTGAACTGCAATGCCTCTGATACCAGCAGGACGGAATCATGGAAAAGTTATGTAATTTGAGCGCTTTTGAATTTAAAGTGAAAATAAAAATACCCCTTTACTTAAGTAATTCAAAATTTGTCACTGTTTCCTGTACATAGAATACTTTGATGTTTTTAGGAGTGATGATACTTCAAGTAACCATCTCTATCCTTTAGACCGGCCTGTAAATTCAGAATTTTATTTTCCACTGGGAAATCCTTCCCTGGAGCTGAATTCTGATATGGCTCAGAGAAAAGGAGAAGGCTGCTGTCTTGGGCCCTACAAACCCAGTGGGAGTTTGGCGGGGACAGAGAAAAAGTAGATGAGGATGGTCTCCCTTTCGACTTCCCACCCTGCTGCTTATCAGGCCTGCATCATTAGAGGAAATGCTGTTTCCTTAAACAAGATGAGACTAGAGTAATAGTAGGCAGCACTTGTGTACTTAAAGGGATAGGAGTTGTTTGTAAATATGCTACTTTTGGGATTCAGCAATTTAAACACAGCTCAGCAAATTTGGCTCAAAGGATACACAGAGGAGAATCAGTTCTTGGTGGAAATCACATCTCACTCACCGACATCAGACATTTCAGGAACAGTAGCCATGTAAACCTCCTCGGTGAATATTGGTTCATTGTCATTGATGTCATGGATCTTGATGACGAATTCAGATTCGGGCTCTACAGGTTTCCCTGTCCTTCTGTTAACAGCTTGAGCTCGAAGTATATAAACGGGCTTCTTCTCCCTGTCCAACCTCTTGGTGGCCTGTATATCGCCTGTGTTTTCATTGATAATGAAGAGATCTCCTGCTCCATCTCCTGAAAGGATATATTTAAGTGATCCATCTCCTCTATCCTGGTCTGAATGTAACTAGTGTAGAAAAGAAAATTAAAGAAAATAAAAGTCAAGCATGTGATCCTGAACTGTTTTTGTGTTTACAGTTCATTCTGTATTAACTTTCGTTCAATCCTTTCTAAAGTATACAGGTTTTTTTTCTTTCATTATTTACATAACCCATCAATAACAAACATTTAATTAATAAAGATATTTCCATATAATCATGGAATTCTCCTGAAATGAAACAAAGTTTGGGAAAAATTTAGGAATCCTCCTTATTTTGAAGAAGGGAAATACTAAAAACCGGAGCAAGGACATATTACCTTTGCTGGAATGAATTTATTTTCACTACAGCTTTCCGGTTTTACTTACACACTTTCTTCCTCACTTATATGCATGCAAACCTACTAACAATTGATGGTATTGGAAAAGAATTTTGGTTTCTGAGTCAGAGAGAACTGGGTATATCCTGCTTCTTGGTGAATTCAGGGAGCTAAGCCATCTCTTTGCATTTTTAGTGGTAGAGATTACCATTCCTTTCCTGGGAAGATATGATGTCTGTTTATTTATGAAATTTAACTCAAAACATTTGAGAAACATCATAAGTGCTGCCATGAACAATGCCTTGAAAACCACCTTGCTAAGTAATTTCTGAGGTCAATTAGAATAATGACGTTTAGCATTCAGATTTTAGTATGAAATGAAAAAGAAGCTTTTGAGGCACAGAGCCAGACTACAGTTGAAAGGGTATGCATTTGGATTCCTGAAAATAATTAAGCAGATGATTGAGGATTCACGGTCAGCAAAGTGGGTCTCGATAAGGGACTGAATTAAACGAAGAGTAAGATATCATGGAAGTGGAACACGGTGATGATCTTAACTTAAGAAAGCAGGTCACATTTCCTCTTGCGAAGATCATTTCCACAGAGTAGGGTGTCTGTTGTTTCCTTGATTCTGTTTTTTGTACCCAGCAAGGGATCAGGTCTTTAGATAATTTTAAGAGTGCTTTTTTTGTGGAGAAAGACTACTTCAAAGCCTGGGGTACAGACAGGCGCCAGGGACATCGAGACAATTTGGCTGCAGTAGGAAGGCTGTTAGTCTATCTTGCCTCACTTATGCTGAAACAGAGGAGCTATGTTAACACGATAAAGGCCACAGGTAGACCAACTCTGCCTTCTCTACAGATACAGCACAAGATGCTCAGAGGAGTCTCCACAAACACATCTGAAAAGGGGCTCTCAGAGAAAGAAAAGGGACTTAAAAATTATCTAACCAGCCTTTTGCTAGACACAGTTCTAAGTGTGTTCTGTGGAATATGTGGTCTAATACATTCGCAACTTCCTCTTTTTTTGGGGAGAAACTGTCCAACGGTACTCACCTACAGCTAGTTACTTGCAGAGCTTGGGAATGAGAATATTATTCATACAATTAGTAGCTTTGAGTGCAATTTGGCAGGAATAATGGAAGATAAATGCAAATGGGGAGGAAATTGCTTAGAAGTGAGAGTAGTGCAGTAAGAAACGTAAAACAGGAGCACGCCCTGATTTGTGGAATGTGATGCGCTAAGGGAACCTTGAAACCACGAGGACACAGAGAGAGCCACTGGGGAACGTTTAACTCTCCGTCCTCCGATTTGAATGAAGGAAGAGCACTTTAAAAAAGCCATTTCATTCAGTCGGGAGTAAAGCAACCAGCCTCACTGCCCTTTGAATCCTTGCTTCAGGCTGGGCAGCTGTGGTTGGCAGCTCGTACAGTGCTGAGGTGCCATTTGCAAGCCCTAAGTCCGGGTCATGCTCCTTCTCCTAGCCTTACCAAGTGCAAGACTACAGCAAAGCTAATTAACCTCCCTGAGCCAGGACCCTTATCAGTAAAGCAAAGATAATAAGAGCTACACAACAAGGTTGTTGTGAAGATCTAATTAGACACCATATACAAATACCGCACTAATTGCCACGTAAACACGCAATAAAAATACAATATGTGGTTTATGAATTATAAAATGCCTTCCAACTTAAAGACATTGCTATTATCATTAGTTCTTATTTCATAATCAGCGTGTTTTTGCTCTTATTCTGACTTTGAGAACTTTGTTTTGAAGACTTTAAAAACCCAATTTTACAAACATCCCATATCTCTGAGGTAAAATCCGTTATCAAAAGCCAGTATTCTTCTACCTGGTGGCAATTGCTGTCTTTACATATGATTTATTATATTCTTCATTGCACTAGATTATAGACTCTCTGTGGCTGGTTCTTTCATCATCTTCAATATGTAATTGTTGCACACTTAGTAGGTGAATATCACAGCTGGTCACAAGATTTATTCAGGTAGAAGTAATCAGAAACTTATTTTTAGCTGTCACGAGAGACCATTTCGATGACTTATAGAGCAAACACCCGAGACAATATAGAGGCGCAGAGGAGATGCCAAGAAGGAGTGTGAACTGGGATTGTGTTGCAGATCAAAATTCTGATTTATCAATATTTGAAAACTAGTGGGAAGATGCATCTCCACTCAGGCATTGTCTGATAATAAAGCAATTTAACCTTCTCCCCCACTGAGCATTATCTGAGTCTGACCCAACGTTCACAGCAAAAACCTCCGAATGCCTCTCTTTTTTTTCTCCCCACTCTCCTCTACTCTGCTGAACTCCCCTGGGGCCAGTCCTTTTCTCTCTTCCTGGGAAAAAGAGGAAACAGAAGACATTGGGCCCCCACAAAAGCAGTGGCAACAACGGGGCATTAGGGGTTTATTGAGCAGTTAGATTTTAATTAGATTTTTTTCTTTTGTGATGTCATTCATCAAGGCCACTGTAAAAGACAGAAGTTAAACAACAAGAAATAAAAGGTTGTAGGCTGCCTGAGGAGTGTTTTCACTAATTTCGGTTTAATGTAGCTGTTGCATTAAGTTTAATCATCTGGTTCACTTTTAATGATTCACCATAGAGTAAAAATTATCTGCTTCCCTCGGAAAGTCACGTTGCACCTGTGGTGGGCAGGATCTTTTGCTATTGTGTCTGTAGCACTGTGTGCCAGAAGGGGCCCTTGGTCTATGTTTGTTTCTCTGTCCACTTCTTCTTTTTTAAAAATAAGAATGCAGTGACTCAGCAAATGAATACAGGAATTTGTCGCACGGCCCCATGGAGGGCCTCACCAGGTGGTGGTGGAATCATTGATCGCTCCGTATCCTTGTGGATATAACTTCCTTTTACTTGCTACATGGACTGGCTTCCAACTTAATTTTAATTAAATTCATGGGAACAACGTTCATGGTATAGATTTTTAGTGGTCTCTGAAGCTAGCTAACGCTGCTCTGTTGCTGACTTCCCATGTTACCGAGTCGCTGAGTGAGTGAACAAACTGAATGTTCTAAATGTATGTGATGTGGAGACGAAAAGTGGGCTCTGCAAAAATCTTACCTAGATAGCACACGTGAGTACCCAAGACAGCCAGAAAGGACCTCAGGGAAGGGAATGTGTGATGTTTGGTTGAAATGAACTGTGCAATCGTGACCAATATGCTTAGAGTGAGGTGCAAATGTGATGTGTCCCTCTAAGACAGTAATGGCTGCTAATCTGAGATGTCCTAGGGTACTTGGAGAACGGCTGTGGTGAAACGATGCTGTCTGACCGGGAAAAAAGTGGAGAAATAGCAGTCAAAGCTAAGAGAAAACACGTTTGTGCTAAACAGGTTGAATATTATTTTACATTAGGGAATAAATCTACAATCAAGTTATATCAAATTAAAGCTAAGTAAATTTAATATATATAGATACTTGCATTTATATATCTTTATAATGCATTTGTATAATGCTAATAAATATGCTTAATATTGTGAAGGCTGAGGAGATCTTATTGGATAGTTTCTGTTAAGAATAAATTGAACCATGCTTGAAGTACATGACAGGAATTAGCAACTGATTCCTTTTAGGGATTATAGGATTAGGCAAATAAAAATATCTTTTACTGCAATTTCATATTATATATTTTATTATGCTGTGCTTGAACACTAATGATTTAGCATTAGTTACCTAATTTATATCTGATGATTATTTTGCAAATGAAAAAGTTGAGGGCAGCATATTATTGGGACAGTGTGCTAGTTGTTTGCTGAACCCTTCTGTTAAACAGCTTTGTGTTACCGTAACAAAACATCTGAGATAATAAACTTATAAAGAGGGGAGGCTTATGTTGTCTCCTGGTTTCTGAGCTTTCAGTCCGTGGTCTCTCGGTGAGGCAGAACATTATGGTGGGAGAGTGTGGCAGAGGAAGCTGCTCGTCTCATGGCAGCAAGGAGGCAAAGAGGGGAAGAAGCCAGGGTCCCGATATTCCCTGAAAGAGTGCGCTCCCTCTGGTGTGGAAAACTCAGAGTGTCAATAAGGATAAAGTGTATAATTGATATTCTGTAATAGGAAGAAAAGGTCTAAAGGAGTAGGGGGAGTGGGAGGAGTAGGGGAAAGGTAAGAAGGGAAAAGAAAAAAAACATGAGAAAATGGAAACAATGTCTTTGTAAATAAAGAGTGGTGGAGGGGGTGAAGGGAGGGCAGGGGAATGGGGAAAAATAAAAAATCAAGACCTGTCATGTAAAGGTACAAGATCCCAATGATGAACCTAACTCTACTGTATACCTAAATTGTACCAATAAACTTAATAGGAAAAAAAAAAGAGTATGCTCCCAGTAACTTCCAACTAAGCCCCAACTTCAAAAGGTTTCATTACCTCTTATTAGTTTCCCCTGGGGACACAGATTTACTACTTGGGCCTTTGTGGGACAGTTTGGGTCCAAACTATAGCTTGCCTTCTCTGGTTCTTCCATAATAGTTAACAGCTCAGGGAGGCTCATGGCTCTTCTGCCTTTTCACTAAGTTTTCACAATGTAATGCATGTGACTCTGATGAGGGGAACTGAGCAGGCATTGGCTTATTCTCTACTTTTTATTCCCACAGACTGCAGCGGAAGTGAGGCAGAGCTTGGCTTCCTCTAGAGCGATGAGGATGATCCTGATGGGATCAGAGACCACAAAGTGAAAGAAAGC